AAGTATGTAGTAAATTAACAGTTATTAAGTGTTAATTATATGCCAGGTACTATGATAAGCACTTAATAACCATTATTACATTTTTACCTTACAAAATCTCTCTGTACAGATCTGAAAGGTTTATAAAGGTATATTCTTTGCCCAGTCATGCTGCTATCAAGTGGCAGAACTAGGATGCAAACCCAAATATTTGTGGCTACAAAGCCAGTGCTCTTTACTTTTCAGAATAGATTTACTCTCCTATCCTTTCCTCTCTAGGACTAGTGGCCAAGAGACTGCATAGTCAAGCACTGCATTCTTATCCCTGATCCCAGAACAGTGATACAATCTTCCCCTTCTGCACACAGCCCTCCACACAGTTACCATCAATAAAACAAAGCTTGTATGAGGAAGAAAATCAATCTTCCATCTTTACTATTTAAACTGTCTCATATAAGTAGAGGAAGAGTTTTATTTAAGGAAGGCTATCTCTTTATTGTTCCAGTAATCAATCTATAATAAACCACAGGTAAAATATTACTGTGTATAAGGTTACTTATAGCAAACTTTCTAAAGGAGACAATCAATTGATTTAGATAAAATTTAAGGCTCCTGTAAAGGCACAATGTGGTTTACAAACTATTCACATCCTTCAGAGGACTGGGGTTCCACAGAGGTGAGCAGCTCAAGGAAGGCAAAGTGAGCTGGTCCTACACCCCAGTTTCAACCAGGGAAACTTTGCCTTTTATCTTCCTATCTATAAAACAGGGGTTCTTCATGAAATTTCATTAAGAAGGAAAGGAGTTTCTACTGCCAAATATCAATACTAAACAACAACAACAACCCTATTTTACATGATACTTAGAAGTCACAAAAGTATTATAAGCCCAGTCTTACAAAACATTAAAAAAAATCCCATTTTTCTCTGTTTGAGGAGAAAGAGTGCTACTACTCTACTAAACCAGAGTTAATAAAACCTTTATAATTGTAATTATAAAGACTAATTATGAGGTCATATCTGTAGTCTTTGTCCTGACTTCACTCCTCCCTCCCTCTTCTAGTTATATTGGCCATTTTTTCCCCTAAGTATAGACTAAAAGTTGGTTATTTATAATCCCTAAAGACAAGCCTTTAAAATGGCAGGGTGAAGCACAATAAAGAGAAGGTCAACAATATACATAACCATTCAAACTGTGGTCAGTGGAAATATCTGACAAATATTACAGCAATGCTACTTTAACTTCAACAAAAGCTAAAAAGTGGTTATAGGCAAAAATGACGATGAGGCTCTGGGTAGTTGAGCTTATATAACCAGTAAGTACAAATATTATGAGACAACAAGGAGAAGATCCTAGGCTATTGAGTATTTAATACATTTATTAAAAAATTGCTCCTACAAACATGCAGAACATGTACACATGGAATAAAATGTACAGAACTGAAGTTAAAAGTCAGCATAGTGATTTAAAACATTTCTTCCTTCAAGTTTTCAAAAAGAGAGGTGGGTAATAGAGGCTGAGAGGAGAGATGCCAAGAAAGATAATGGGGAAGACTCAGAACAGATGACGATCCAAAGATTTAGAAAGAATTACATGTTCAAAGAAAGAGAGTAAGTAAGATGGGTAGAAACCCAACAAAAGAGAGGTACAGAAACCCAGAGAAAGAGGTTGAGAGATGTATACAGGAAATAGCCAATAGAGAGAGGGAGCCAGGCAACTACACACCAGAGTTAGTTAACAGTGGGGGAAAATATCTGAGGGGTGACATAGACCAAGACAGAGGGAGAGAAATCCAGAGACAGAAAGATAGAGACCCAGAGCCAAGAATGAAAGGGACAGAAACCCAGAAAGTAGGCAGAGACAAGAGAGAAAAGGCTTAGAAAAAGAGGTACAAAATGACAAGAGAATGAGTCAGATGATGAGGATGATAAGATTACAAAATATTCCCATATACATTTGAACTCATCCATGGAACCTAACCAAGTCTATCATTCCTATAATTCTGAAAACACTGAATTCTTCTTTTTTTCTCATCCTCACAATGCCTTTAGCTCAATCCTTTGATTGACTCCTCAAGCCTCCTTACCATCAATCTCACCATGTTCTTACCATGCTCTTCTGCCCAGAGCTTCTCCTGAGCTCTCTGAAATGCCAAAAAGAAACTCTTCATAATGTTTTAAATCCCAGTCTTTTTACAGAGGGTTCTTTTTACTGCCTTGCCATTGACAAAACCTGGATCCCACCCAAAGGTACCAGCTTCTCTGCAGATCTCTTAACCTATTCTGGGACCAGAAGGCAATACTGGCAAACTGCTGGCTCTTTGCTGTCCTGGACTCAAACAACATGCCCTCTCCCTCCTTCCCAATCCCCTAAGAGCTCTACCGCATGGCTACATACCCTGTCTGCCAGAACTTGTTGTCATCCCTCCATTTAGTGACCCCTCGACCTATGAAGTCATACATGTACCTGTCTACTGGATATCTTTATTTTTAAGTCTCAGAGACATCTCAAACTACTTATTATTTCCTCTCCTAAAACTCTTCTAATATATACATAGGTAATACATAATGCTTCTTTTAGTAAAGTTCCTACCTCATATAGGGATGTCACATTCAGAGAGAAATCACCTGTAAGGATTTGTAAGAATTTCATAAGACATTACATCTCTTTTCTAAACAAAAGTTCTTAGTTCACTCTCAGTAACCTACTCTTGGAGAGTTAGAACTAATAAAAACAAACCTGAGCTCTCAAAACCCTAGTAAAGAACCCATCTCATATGGGATGTGTTAGTTTAGTACCTGGTCTCTTTTAAGTGGTATGTTGGTTGGTTCTGCCAGAACAATTCAGAAGCAAAGAAATGGAGATCATGAGCAAGTCAAGGAGAAATTATCCTTTTGGTGGCTGGAATATTATGGGAGGTCCTAAACCTGTGTATTTCTGTATATCTTCAAAACCCCCCCTTTTTTTTTGACAAGGAAGAGTCATTATTTTTAGCAATAATCACTACTTTTCTATTTTTTAATTGAACCATGCAAAATTAAGATGTGTCTTTTTCACTTCGTAAAATTTACAATGCTAAAAAGAAAGTTCTGAGATAAAATATTAGAAAGTATATTTCCTTTTTATAATAGACAGGTTCTCTGTTCTCTGGTTAATCTCCCTTAATGATTCTCAATTACTCTTTACCTGAAAGACTATTTAAGATAAATAAGCAGCTCGTGGTGCACAGCAGCAGGGAAGAAAATCATCCTCTGGGATACACAGAAAACAGCTGGTCCACTTTTACTCCTCAGGCAGGATTAAGTAACAATGAGGCAGACTATGATGGGGGCTTCCACCAAACCAAAACTGCACAGGTGGCCTTTAGGTGCCATCACAAACAGAGCTTCACATTTAAAAGTTTTCCCTTTCTCTTTATCTTCATTAAGAGTTAAGTGAATTAATATTTGTAAAGTACTAAAACAGTACCTGGCATATAGGGAAAGCAATATAAACTACATAATCAAGAGAAAATGTTTAGGGGCTTTGTAAGGAGACCTTTGTAAATGAATCGACATTTAATCCAGTGGTACATGGAACAAATAATTCTAAACTTTACTCTCCTCCCTGAGATATGATAATGTCTAGTGTCACAAAAAGTCATGAGGATGCGAAATTCCATTATAAAAGTGATACAAACATAACACATGCTCCTTAATTTTATTTAGGAAGGGACAGAAAAAATTAAGGACATAACAGACAGTTTGCTGGGTTAAAAAAAATATGGCATGAATCAAGTAACTAGCTTTAGAAACAAAGGAGCTCAAATACATATGAGAATTTATAGTCCCTAATACGAATAGAAGAATCATTTAAAATTAAAGGCAGGGATGCATCTGAAAAACGTGAGTCACTAAATAATCAATTTGGTTGTGAACATATTAGCTATGTCATACATACACACACACCAATTATCTGCAGGCATGTATGTCACAATGCTGGCTTAATATATAGGTGCCTTCCCATATTGCAGGTTCTGTCATGAAAAAAGAATTTCTTTAAAAAAATCTAAATAAAATTTAATGGAAAATCATTAAACATGATTACATTGGAACATAGGTATGTGAAGTAAAAAGAACACTAGACTAGAAATCAAGAGGTATTATGGATCTAAGGACTTTAGATAATATACACATGATATCTGAGGTCTAAAATATCAAATGAACTTGTCCAAAGTCATATTTATTTAGCCAAAGAGATGAAATGGTTTGTTATTTATCCTGCCCCTTCATCCCAAACTAGTAAAGGAAAAAATGTAAAGTAACAACTGAATCTGGGAAGAAGGGACAATGAACACACAGAAAAAAAAAGACCATGGTAAAACAGAAGAAACCAATTTTCTATGCTGCCAATTCAAACATTAGTTATTACATCTTCTGAAGAGAAAGACCAAGGGGAAGGGGGAGTAGGAGAGGGAATTCACAGCACAAAGTGTTCCCTAATTATCCTTTGCTTTTCTAGAATTAAATGTGACCATAAACAGTGACCACTTACAACAAGCTGTGAAATATTATACATTTTGCAAATTTTCCCCAGCGAGGGATAGGTTAAACCAGCCTCCTAATGTTTAAGTCTCATTCTGGTCCTACTGAAGTCTTCCTCCTTTCCCTCCTCCTCCAATATTTCAACTTAACAAAATGACATCATTTTCCTCCCTCCAATAAATAGGTGAACTAACATTCAGCTCCAGAAGCACATATAGAGTGTAAAGGTTAAAATATATATTCAAATTTGCTTTAGAATCACAGAAGTTTAAAAAAGGAAGAAAATTCTTTAAAAACCATTCCTTTCTTTTAACATCTTCCCAATATAACTAATAATGATCAATGATCATACCTTGAGCTCAGTATCAATAGGGCCTGTGTTTTGAAATTCTTTCATTCATTCAATTAGCAAAACTGTTTCACTTGGGAAAGGGAAAATATTTCTAGAAGAACAACAAGTCTATCACAATACTCAGTATATACTTTCTGCAAGACCTACCTTCTCACCACTTGAGTAGAAGAAATAACGCAATCGGACTATGTTACAGTGATCTAGCTTTCTCATGATTTGGAGCTCTCGGTTCTGAAAAGGAAAAACAGAAAAATATATTTTAAAGGATAACCGCTATTCATCATACTAATGCTTCTGAAGTAACATTAAACATTACAAATAGAAGGCAACAGATATGTTACAAAAAAGTATGGTCTACAGATCACTGATAACCTGGAAAGTATTTGTTACAATTCCATGAACTATTTATTACTGCTCTGCGAATCAAATTGAAAATAAGTGTTTAGAATTTTCTATAGCAATTTGACAGAATACTTTCATATTGATGAATCTTATAATCAAAAGTAGGACCTGTATTTTGTATTTAATTCATCTGTATTGTATTTACAAAAATATTAGTCCTCAATGAATTGGAAATTTTTAACACTGGTACTTTGCCACAATAAGCTTGAGAAGCACTGGTCTACAGTAGGTAAGAGACAATCTGAAATGAGCTATTACTGCTGTAATTTTTGCAACTATAAAAAAATAAAATATTACATCAAGCAAATAAATTTGGGTGCAAAGAAAATTCTTATAAACCCTACTCTTTCCCAAGATATACCAAAAAATCTGAGAATTACGCCATTAGAAGGGCTTAGATGCTAAATTTTAGAAAGTTAAAATGATATACTAGAAACTGTACAGTCCTGATAAATTTATAAACCACACAAATAAGTTTCCCTTTCAAAAGGCAAGTTTCAAAGTTATGCTCATTCTTCATTGAAAGAGAACATTAAATATGATCACCTCTTAACACCATAAATTTTGCAGTAATAAATCTGAAGAGTATATATTAACAAAGAAGAGAAATTCTAACAACATACTTGGGCTGTCTGAAATCAGTTAATAATGGCTACATTAAATAACAGAGAAAGAACACCAAAGTACCAGCTATATAGACAGAATATACAAAATGTCAGTTAAAATAATGATTTAGAAGAGCTACAAAACCATAAAGTATATGCCTAGGAATCTAGAAGGCAAATATTGTTATGGTAATGAGGGAAAAAAGCCAAGAAAAGAAAAAGAGGAGTGGGGGATGAATAGGAGACAACAAGCTGAATAAGCAGAATTGTCCTAGAGCACAGTGAGCTCCAGTTCTTAGAAGATGGTAGCAGAAAGAAGCAAATGTTTCTCCTCTAGAAACTTCCAAAAGGTTCTGTTCTATTACTGTTTTCTTAGAGAAATAGGAACCTTAAGGGGATTCTCCTTCTGTCCCTTTAAACTGACCATGAGAGCTGGGTTTATGTATACAGTGATATTTAACATTCTTTTATAAGGCCATGGTGGGGTCAGGTGACTTGGTTGACTGAAGCATCATCCTATGCACAACACAAGTTCAATCAATACCTGGTCAAGGCACATACCTAGGCTGCAGGTCTAATCCCCTGTTGGGCAGGTATGGGAGGTATCTGACCAATACTTCTCCCTTTCACAACCATGCTTTTCTGTCTGTCTGTCTGTCTGTCTACCCCCGTGCCTCCTCCCCCTTCCTCTCTCTCTAAAAACAAAACAACAAAAAAACTAATAAACGTATCTTCCAACAACAAAAAACAATATATCCTCAAGTGAGGACTAAAAAAATTAAAAAATAAAATTCTTTTATAACACATCATTCATTCATTCCATTAATTGATATAAAATGTTTATAGCTAAAGCAATAAGCAAACAGTATAATATAACTGCTTTGACAAAGATAATGACTAAAATTAGACTAAGTTTTGACTGTTGCAGAGAACACAAAACTTTACTAATTTCAAAACTGTGTCTACTTCCATTCCAAATTGAAGCTATTCAGAAATGTGCTACCAGAGGAGGTTCCAGGCTGGTATTTAAACAAAAAGGCAGGCCACCATGTGGGACAGGGACAATGCAAAATCACGTGGGAAGAAAAGGAGTGAAAGACTCTGGCTGGCAGACCACGAGGAGGTGCCATATGGTTTTGGATTAAGGACTGGAGATCAGTGTGACACAGATGACAGTGCTGGGAATCGCAGAAGACCTGCCCAGCCGTCTCCCACCCAGCCCAACAGCCTCGATTACTGAGAAGAATTGGGAGAAGTGAGCTGCAGACTTGTTTTTTTCTTCTTGAGGGCAGTACTTCTGATTGGCATGTTCTGAGACTAACCTGACATGGAGGGGTGGGAGGAGGAGGCAGGACTGTGTGTTTGTGCGTATATCTTCATTTCTAAAGGAAATGAGATTTAATGGTAGACTTCTGCTGTTATTCTAAACCTGTGTAACTTTTCATTAAAATAATTCCTTTCCTTTTTGACAAACTCCGGCATTGAGAGCCACAGATCCTAACACAGTGGCAGGCAAAAAACCATCGTACAAAAAGACGCCAGGGAAAGGGTTGGGTTGTTTCTGTACCATGAAGACTGACTTTTTTTTTTAAAGAGAAGGAAAGGGAGGGAGAGAAATATCTATCAATGTGTCATTGCCTTTTGTGTGCCCCACTGGGGACCCCACAGTCCAAGCATGTGACTTGAGTGGGAATTGAACCAGTGACCCTTTGGTTTGCAGGACAGTGCTCATTCCACAGAGCCACACCAGCCAGGCAAGACTGTCTATAAATATATATATATGTGTGTATATAGCCAACTATGTTAAAATAAGCTATCTGTGTTTCCAGGCTCATTAACCAAGGTAACAGAGAACTATTAAATTCCTACATAACAAAATTTATGTAAAAAGAATATGTAAGTGAAGCAAGTACATGGACCTTAATATTTATGTACCTTTACTGATCTGAGGCAGGAGACAGTCAGGAAGGAGGACATTCCAGAGGTGCCCCAGGGCTAAGATCCTGTTCTAAGACCAGTTGTTCCCGCTTTCTGGAAAAGCGTGGAATCACGGTGAATCATGAATGCACCTGAGCAGAAGATGTTACATGATCCCTGCTTCATTATAATAGCATTATAATAAATTAAAGTTGTGGGACCCCCTTCCCCAGTGGCCAATCAAGGAAAATCACAGGGGACCAAATGCACAGTAGCTTTAAAGTAATGTAACTACTTGTATATGCACAATAAAACCCTGCCAAATCTAGCCAGGAAATATCTGTAAGAGTAGAATCTCTCCAGCCCCTGATGTCAATCTCTGCTCAGAGTTGACCTGCTCCCATGTTCTGTGGAGTGTACTATTGCTTAATATATCTGCTCTCTTTCTGCTATGAACTCTTGGTTCGGTTCAATTCTTTGTCCGCGATCACTGAGAACCTGGTTACCTGTGCCCACCTGTGACAGTTCTAAAAAGGAGGCTTAAATTTTATCATTTTAAAATTCCCTAAAGGATCCAAAACATATTTCATAGAGCAATTGTTGTAAGTATTAATCAAGTCAATATTAGGCAAACAAACTTTGTGCCTAAAATGTACTTAATACAACAATCCTAAGCCTAGCCATTTTTACTGAGTCAATCTTTATTAGTTCACTAAGGACATATTAATTCTATAAAAACACCGTTATTCTATAAATACAATACATCTTTACGTGCCAGGCATAATTTACAATATTAAAGATGTGGCAGTGAACAAGAATAACAAAGTTCCTACCCTCATTAAACTTATAAGCAGACAGAGAACAGAAGAAGGAAGTCAGGGCAGACACCTCACAAACCTGAATGATATGATGATGAGAACCATGTGAAAATATGAGCACTGCAGTGCAATTATAGCAAACTCCAAATGTAAATGCCTAGAGGTGGACTTTGAACATTCAAGAAATAGCTTGAAGGAACATGCAGCAAGCTAAGTAAAGGGAAGAAGGTGAGAGATAAGTTCAGAGAAGTAGGTAGGGGGGTATGTCATACAAATTCATAAATCATGTTAAACTAAATTTTACACTAACTATAAAGGAAAATGATATATTCTGATCTATGTTTTAAAAAAATCATTCTGAAAATCAAGGAGAATAAATTTGAGGAAGATGGTAGATCAAGAGTTCTATTTTCTTTCTACTTATTAAGTCTGATATCTTTACTAAACACCCAAGAGAAAATACTGCAACTCAGTGTAGAACTTGGTACTGGAAATATGTATCTGGAAGGTCATCTGCACATTGAAGACTTATTGCAAGGGAACCCAGTGTTATATCTATTGCATAGGAAAGAAGTTTGGACCCCCCAAAATTCACAGGTGCATCACATGGAGCAGTCAATGAAGTAGAATGAAAAACAGGAGAAAATACTACCTTAGAAGCCAAGTGAAAAGAGTTATCAGAAAAAAGGAGTAACCATTTATGTCAAAAGTGGCTAAAAGGTTAAACATGAAAGCAGAAAACTGGTATTTGGATATGGCAAATGTAGGATGCTGGTGACTCTTACAAGAATTATTTCAGTAGAATGGTTGTAACAAAAGCCTGATTACAGAGAATTAAAGAGGGCCTGGGAGACAGGAGGGAAGGACTAAGAGTTAGTTAAAAAGAGGTGAGATTCCCAGCTATAGCAAAATGAAGAGATCTCCCCCTAAGCAACTATAAAAAGTGCTACACTGTAGAAAATAATCATTTCAGAGCTCTGGAAACCATTCAAATGCAACAAGTTGAGAAACATTTATTCATGAAAAGCTGTTAGATACTAGAGTTGGGACAGTGGGGGGCAGTGGCCTTTCTGCCAGGGAATGCTACTATTCCCCACTATCACCAGCCAGCTCAGACAGTCACATAGTTTTACCAAGGCAGGGTTGATCTTGAAAACCAGGAATTCTGCTTCTACAGGGGACTACCATCACTTAGAACAGAGAGCAAAAACCCAAGTCCAGTGGCACTGGCAGAGAAACAGCAAATTTGACAGGAAACAAAGTGAAACAGCCCACAACTCTGCTACCCTGAGACTACAGTCTCAGCTGGGGAAAATGATAGACTGGCAGAACACTAAGAAATTTACCAGATAGATCCTGGAAATAAGAGAGGCTAAATAAGCTCGGCACATATCCCTGGTTGAGAGGCTGTACAAAAACACAGGGGAGACCTAAGAGGGCCTCCAAGAAAGCTGAGGCCAACTTAAAAACTACCCAAATTTTGAATGCA